TACTGATAATTTTGCTGATGTTCCATTTATATACAGTGAGGCATATTTAGTTTGATTATAAGAAAGAGACTTGCAAACACAAATAATGCTCTGGTAGAATTAAAGGAAACTGCAATCTTAAAAATTGTAACTTAGTTGAGGTGTCTGTCATTAACCAGGATTAAGGTGTATGAGTTTGCGTTGTGCGCTAGGCTGTGGTAACCCAAACTTCTTTGTAAAACTGATGCAACATTAGATAAGATCTCCATACTCTCTCAGCACTGGGCCAGCAGCACCACACAATCTCTTGTGGTCAATACAATAAGGCTTAGTGACTGGCTTTCCATTGAATGTAATTGGCTGGGGACTCTGTCCGCCTTCACTTCCTTTCAGCTCACAGCAGTTGTATTCATATCACTGGGCTATTATTTGTTTTGGCTGACCCATTGATTGTAGATATAAACTAAGAGCTCCTCAAATTGTAACCTCGCTCAGCTGTTTCACGGCTGCGTTGCTGTTAGCAACAATGAAAGGAGCAATATGGAGATCAGTCTTTCAAATTAAGTGTCTGATAAAAGGCAAAACAAGGAAAGATGGGAGTTCCACACTCTGCCACTGGGACTTTTACATCTGTTACTCCCCATCCATCCAGGTGTCTGTATTTAAATCAACAGGATTAACTCTGATTGAACTGATAGTAGAAACAGACTCCCCTGGTCGCTCAAAGCTCCTCCTTTTTATATCTCACATTAAGATCGAATCAAGCCATGCGCAACAGGACTAACTCCCCATCCTCCCCTGCCTTCTGCTGTCCATAAGAAAGACATCAGAGGTGGGATTCGTCCCCACTCCGCTCTAGCTGCTCCTCCAGACTCCCTTCCATCTGTGATCCTCAGGGAGGAGAAGAATATCTGACAAGGGGCTCGTAAGCCTCTTAGCCCCCCTGTTGCCTGGTTCTCTCTCAGCCCATGTTTTCCTAATTTAGTTGTGTAAGAAGTCCACCACAAGGCCCTTGTGTGCTGTTTGGATTGATATTCTCTTTGTGGTGTAATAGACTGGCTATGTATATCAATTAACACTGCACACCCATGGCAAGGTCAAATCTCTGGAGACCAGTAGAGGTAATTCCTTTCTGACTATTTCCTTATGGCTTCAATAATGTGCATTTAATTACATATCACTTTTGGACAGAGGTTATTTGCTGCATTTTTTTTTGTTTAATATATTTTCTGATACTTTAAATACCTATAATAATGACTTCATTAGAAACTTAAGAAAGACATACACACACACACACATATACATATATA